CAGCACAACGGCCAACACACACATCACACGGCGCATCATCATCATCATGAGAGAGAGACAATAGTTTGGTTTGCGTAAAAACACTGATCTAGAAAGAAAGACAATCAAAGAGAAAAAAAGGAAATAAATGAAGTATCAAACATGTTAGGACACATAAATCGATTACCACTATAAAAACTCACATCGTGAAAGTAAAACCTACCAGTGAAAGAATTCAATACAGCGCAATATCCTTAGTAAGAGTAAAAACAAAAAAAAAAGCCCACATTCACAAATATCTCAAAAAAGATTCAATGCACAGCAAATCACAAGCAAAGAAAAAATCATTAACCATTATCCCAATTTACCCAATAAACATAGAAATATACACCAACTATGGGTGTAAGTCTATACGTGTGTATAAATGCAATTATAAATATAAATTCATCTTTTATTATTTCTTCTCTTTTCTCTCTCACTGCAAAAAGCAGTTCATCATCATTATCATCACAGTGCAAGCACACAGGCACACACACAGAGAGTCTCCAAGAACACACACACGCACACAATGGAGTAGCAATAATAATTATAGGATAAACACACAGAGAGAGCAAAAACACAATAAACAACAAATTAACATTAAGAAACAAAAAAAAGAAGAAAGAATCCCAACAGGTGGANGCTTTGTTGCGCTTGGGTCTGTACATGAGCTTCTGATTGAGTAGTTTCCCTATGAGTTCTATCCTCTGGAGTTAGTGGTGGTTTTCCTCTTTCACTTTCGTCATGTTTTTGATTCTCCAGATCATCTGTATTTAATGTCGTACCTCTTACACTTCCCACTCCCACTGCATTTGGTTCGGGTTGCGAAACTCTTGTTACCAATTCACCACCCGTAGCCTCAAGAACAGAAGAAAGGCCATTCGCATGTTCATCTCTTAAAGACTCACCGCCTTCAATGGCTTTATCCGTTTTAGGACATTTACCTTTCTCAGTACTACCCTCACAATTTTTAGAATGATCTTCAGGTTGTATACGTTTAGGAGGACATTCAGAACCATCAGTAGAATCTTGAATACAATTATCAGAATCAGGTTGAGAAGGGGTAGCAAGAGCAGAAGGGCCAACGCCTTCAGCCGCCGTTACACCAGCACAGCCAATGCTCACAAGCAAAGTGATCACACACAACACAAAACGCAAAACCATCACGATAAGAGGCCTTTTTGTTTGGATTACTTGGCTAAACAAATAAATAAAAAACGGAAAGGTGAGCAAAAATAAAAAGATCCAATACAATAGAAAAAAGAAAAAGAAAGAAAAGAAAACAATAAAACAACAGTTAATAAAGAAAAACAATAAAACGTCTCGTAATGAGTCACCACAGAAACTACTCAATAAAGCCAAAAAGAAATTAAGTTAATAGCAGGCGGTCCCACCAAAATAGAATTCAGATAAATATCGATGTTCTAGAGCTCACAAGCAATTATGATTATAAATGTCTCTTTTACTCTTATTCTTCTTTTTTTTTTTTTCATTAAGCTCATCACCAAAACTATAAAGGGCAAAAAACACGACGACCCAACAAACAATAAGCAAAAAAAAAGATATAAACCATTAGCCCAATTTACAGAGTAAACACAGAAATACACCAAATATGGGTGTAAGTCTATATGTGTGTATATACGCAATTCTAAATATAAATTCATCTATTATTATTATTTCTTTTTTACCCTCTGCAAAAAACAGTTCATCATCATTATCATCATCACAGTGCAAGCCCAGGTGCACACACAGAGAGAGTGTCCAAGAACACACACACACAACGGAGTAGCAATAATAATAATTATAGGATAAACACAGAGAGAGCAAAAACACACAAAACAAACATTAACATTAAGAAACAAAAAAAAGAAGAATATAATCCCAACAGGTGGAAGATTAGTTAGACTGTAGGGATGTATGCAAAAAAAGAAAAGAAAACAAAGGATGACCTGAGTCACACCACACCACCATCACAATCAGCACACAAGAATACAGGCCAGTGTCATCACAATCAGTAGTGGTACACGCACCCACACAGAACTGCTGATACTGCTGCTGCTGTCTGCATCACCCTTCTTGTTATTTGTGAGTTCAGGAGGAAGTGTTGTTGTGGTGGTACTTGGTGTATCTGTATTACCCACATCACCTTCTTGGGTATTTGTTGACCCAGTTCCTGCAGATGTATTGTCATTCCCAGGTGAAGTGTCAGAGCTACTAACACTCTCCGTGACTGTATTGGTAGAAGAGGTAGTAGAAGGCGGTTGTCCTGCACTCTCCTTGTTTTGTGGAGTTCCGACTGCTGCATTGTTGCTGCTTTCAGCTTGACCTTCAACTGCAGTCGGACCATCAGTTGCCTCACCGGCTGGAGGAGCAGCAGGAGAAGGAGCAGAAACATCGGCGTTGCCTTGATTACGGTTCTCACCTTGACGCTCGTCCTTAGGAGAACCGGTTGAAAGAGTACTGCCTGTACCAGGAGTGAGGCTAACAGCTGCATCAGTATTACTGTGTTCAGCGTGAGGAGCGGGTTCCTTTGGTGTAATTGGCGCTGGTTCTTTTCCTGTCTTTGAACAAGAAGTATTAGAATCATCAGTGCAATTGCCTTTAGTTTGAACACTATTGGCAGGGCAATTCTCTTTCTGAGACTCTTCCGTACACTCAGTAGGCGGAGCTTCAGCTTCAGTATCTTTACTTCCACAGTTGGAACCAGTGTTCGCTGAAGAACAAGCTTCATCACCACCAGCAACAGCACCAACAGCAGGAGGACAAGTACTTTCAGAAGTACGAGGAGTTTTACCAGGAGGGCAGTCCGAAGCAGCACCATCTTCAGGTTGCACAACAGAAAAAGCACAATTACCAGAAGTACCAGTAGTAACACCATCAGGGCAGCTAGAATCACCTTCTGCCTTTAATTTCCCCTCCGGACCATCAACACCACTAACAACACTATCATTTTCAGCATCAGGGACTTGGTCGGAAAGATCGGCGGCAGGCACTTCTTCAGCGAGGACGTGCACACACGCACATGAGAGCAGGAGAGCGAGGATACACAGCACGTAGCGCATCATTATTATTATTACTCAAACGGTTGCAGTAGTCTTACTTCAATCGCTTACAGAAACAAAAGCCAGGTAGAAAAACAGAAACAAAAAGAATCAATTGAAAACCACAACAGAATATAAAAACACACACCAAATCAAACAACACTCAACAATTACAGCAGAGGGACACACATTACAGAAAACAGCAACCATAACTCAGATAGTGTCCAAATGAAAGAAATTAGCACACAATACTTAGTACGAAAACAGATAATCCCAATTAACCCCTCAAAATTGAAAAAAAAAATAAATTAAGAGAACGACCATCAGAAGCAAGCACAGAAATAAATAACCCTTTCACTTAAAATAGAACCATGTGCAAAATTATGAATATATATGAATTCCTTTTTTATTTACTCTCTGCAGAAAACAATTCAACGCATCATTGAACCCGAGAGCACAATGCGCCCAAGCAAAAAAAAAAATGTTTGAAAAAACAAAAAAAAAAAA